GGGGTCTCTGTGCCCGTAATGAAATTTCATCCATTTCCCTGCAGAAAGTTTGTATTTTTCTTTTTCTTTCTTTATTTTTTTTTCTCCTGAAGTGGCATTTCCAAAGGCAGCCACGTGGCCTGGGACGACGCGTGTGCAGAAATAAATCTGTATATTTGTATTTATTGGCCACGGGGTCTGTGACAGACGCTGTGAACAAACCTGAGGAGGCGAAAAAGGGGGTTGGGGAAAAAAAAAAAAGGGAGACAATTTAATCTGAAAGAAAATACAATCCCAACAAAGAAAAATTAGCTAAAAGGACTAACACCATCCCTCTCCCCCCCCCAAGCTCGGCTTTTAGAAGCTGCTCAATTAATTTTAATTGGATTTTTAATATTGTTTTGGGGGGGGAAGATTTTTTCAGGCAGTTTTGGAGAAGGCAGCTCTGGATTTGGGAGCTGCTGGGGGGCTCAGCTGGGCTCCCCCAGCCCGGCATTGGCGGCTCCTGGTGGCGGCTGCGAGACGGGGACGTTCCTTGTTAATTGAATTAAATGCTCAGTAGGAAAGAAGGGAAGGGGGAAAAAAAGAGCTTAGGATGTGAGAGCTGCAGAGGGAGGCTGGGGAGGTGCTGCCCTGGGTGAGGGGGGGTGGGAGGGAGCTGGAGCTGCTGGTCCCTGCCGGACGGAGCAAACCCGGCAGCAAAAGCAGGGGGTGCAGGGCTGGGAGAGCCCTGGGAAGGGTTTGGGAAGGGAAGGAAAAGATGTGGGAAAGGTTCTTTCTCTCTCTGGTGCTGCAAGCACTGTGAGGTGTTCTCAGCTCCATCCCTGTTCCCTCTCCTCATCCCCATTCCTGTCCCATCCTCATCCCTGCCCCTGTCCCTGTACTATCCTAACCCTCATCCCTGTCCTGTCCTCATCCCCATCACTGTCCCCATTTCCATTACCATCCTTAGCTCCATCCCTATCCCTATCCTGTCCTCACCTCTGTTCCCACCTCCATCCCCATTCCCACATTTACTTCCACCCCTGTTCCCATCCTTGTCCCCGTCCTGTCCTCACCTCTGTCCCCATCCCCATCCCCATCTTTATTTCCAACCCTGTCCCTATCCCTGTCCCTGTTCCCACTTTCATCCCCATCCCCCCTCCCATCCCCATTCCCATTCCCATTCCCTGTCCCTCCCTCCTCTCCCAGCAAGAGCTGCCAGAGGACACGGGGCAGAGCCCAGCGGGGCTGCCTTGGCAGGGGCCCAGGAGCTGCTCATTTCCCTAAAAGCTTCCCGATAAATTACTCCTGCTCTTGCTCTAGAAAAAGGCACTTTTGGCTCGTGCCCTCGCAGCTCCTCGCTGGGACCTGCGGGGGACACTGAGCCCCATCCCTGCAGCATCCTTTGGGAGCAGGGTGGGAGCAAGGGAAGGAGCTGAGCTCCCTGTCCAGCTCCAGCCGTTCCCTCCCTGCCGTGCAGCTCCCGACAAACAGCCTCTGTCCCCAGGCCAGCCCGTGCCAGCTGCACCCCAGCAGTGACAGGTGACATCTCACCCCTCCTGTCACCACTCCATAAAATACACCCCCAGAAAAGCCTAGAATTTACGGGCTCCTACAAGTACCCGGGAGCTGCACAGGTCCATGAATACACCACCCCCTGCGAGGGATGCTTGGCCTGACAGCTGGAGAGCATGGAAAAGCTTTTGCAGGAAGACCCAATTTTCATCAATTCCCCCTCCCCAAGCCTCCTCTGGATGGGCTGGAGCTCCTCAGGGAACATTCCTGCTCCCAGCTTCCAGGCTTTACTGGGAGTTTCCCTGCCAGGAGCAGCTCATCTCCCCAGGAGTGAGGAGCAGGGAGGGGCTGCGGCTGCGTTTGTGTTTTACACCAGCATTTTAATTTACTGTCGGGTTTTGCAGCTCGCCCAGGGAGCTGCCCAGACACCTGTTTCCCCACCCAATTCCAGCTGGATCTGGGAGAGGTTTCAGAGCCCTGAAGATCTGAGCAACATCTCCTGGACCAGCTGCCCTCTCAGGGATGCTCCAAACCAAGCCAGGACCAGAGCACACGGAGCAGGGACAGGACCTGAGGGCTGATGAAATCGTGTGTCCAACCACCAGCTAGGAACTGCGAAGTGTTTTGACAGCTGGTTGTGGCAGCCACTGTCCTGGGAACCTCCGGGGGAGACACTGGGCTTTGATTTGCCCCTGCAGGCAGCGCAGCCCTGGCCTCATTCAGAAGGTGCTTGGCTGCCACCACTGCCACCCATCAGCCTCACACCGAAGCCGTTTGTCACCCTTTGAAGTCAGGGAGCGGTGGGAACGACGGGCTGAGCCCCCCCAACCAACTCCCCAGTGCTCTTCCCTCTGCTCCGTGGGGACACACAGCAAAGGGGCTGGAGGGAGCAGCCAAAGCTGCTCCTGCCAGGGCTGGGAGCCGAGCCCAGCAGCGCCCACCCCCACTCCCCTGCATCCCATGGGCTTTGCTTTCCCCTCACTGGGCTCCTGCAGCTCTGCAAGTTCTGCCCCCAGGGCAGGGGGATGCTGATTTTCCCCCAGGTAGGTGCCACGGGGTGCTCCTGTGTGCTCACATGTGCCAGCTCCTGCAAGGGTGGGACGTGGGTTGATGCCACATGCTCTGAGCCCTGGGGTCCTGCTCTCCAAAGACCCCCAGGCCCAGGGCTCAGCAGAGCAACCACAGCCACATGGGAAGCACAGGACTGTTCTGGTTGGAAAAGGCCAGATCATCATCAAGTTCAACCACTAACCCAGCCCTGCCAAGGCGACCACTGCCCCATGTCCCTCAGCACCACATCTACAGGGCTTGGAAACCCCTCCAGGGATGCGGACACCCCCCCTGCCCCGGGCAGCCTGGGCCAGGGCCTGACAGCCCTTTCCATGAAGAAATCCTTCCCAATATCCAATCTAAGCCTCCTCTGGAGCAACCTGAGGCCATTTCCTTGTTCCATCACTTGTTCCTTGGGAGCAGAGACCAACCCCCCTGGCTTCAACCCCCTCTCAGGCAGCTGCAGAGCCAGCAGGTCTCCCCTCACCTCCTGGTCTCCAGGCTGGACACCCCCAGCTCCCTCAGCTGCTCCTGCTCACACTTGTGCTCCAGCCCCTTTCCCTGCTCTTCTGCCCTTCCCCTGACACTCTCCAGCCCTTCCATGTCCTTCTTGTCCTGAGGGACCCAGAACTGAGCCCAGGATTCCAGGTGCAGCCTCACCAGTGCCAGCACAGGGGGACAATCCCTGCCCTGGTCCTGCTGGCCACACTAGTGCTAACCCAAGCCAGGATGCTGGTGGCCTTCTTGGCCACCTGGGCACACCCTGGCTCATGTTCAGCTGGGAAGGATAAAAACACTGAGTTTGGCTTAAAGCTCCAGCAACTCCTGCACAGTCTCTGTGCTGCAGGCAGGGCTCAGGCAGCTCCTCACCCCACCATGCTGTGGTGACATCCAAACCCCATCTCATGTCACAGCTCTGTCCCAGGACAGGGCATGACAGCTCCCAATGTCCATCCACCCACACACCCTGAGGTAGGAGCTCTGCCCTGCCCTGGGCAGCTGAGCATGGGCATGATCCAGGCAGGATCTGGCTGAAGGTGCTGGCTCCTGCTCTTGCTCTTCATGAATCTGGAGTCACCACCACCATGTGCAGCCAAACCTGGAATGCACTGGCAGGAGGTCCAGCCAGCCTGGACAGACCTGCCCCTGGAGAGCTCCTCTCCCAGGATCCACCCCCTGGATACCCAGCAGCTCCAAGGTGAAGCCCAGCACCCACCTGAGAACACCAAGCCAAGGTCTCCTTCATCCCTCTCCTCACAGTTCCAGTCCCCAGAGCACACACCTGGCCAGTCAGCTCCCAGAGCAGGGAGTGACCCACGGAGGGGTTTGTCCCACTGGCACTCACTGTTTCCTTAATTTCCAGGAGGAGGAGAAACCTTGGGATGTTTTTCCCTCCTCACTTCTCATGCTCAGCACGGTGGGAGCAGAAGCAGGGGACTCAGGGGAGCTCCCCAAGCTCTTCACGAGGAGCTTCAGCACCTGAACTGAAGCAGTTTGACACGCTGAATTTAACAGGAGCCAACATAAGTCATCACCACTGGAGGAAATATTAAACATCAATTTTTAAAGCCTGGTTACAGCTGCCTTCCCAGTCCCCTCTGTGTGAGGCTGGAGCTCAGACCTCTGTTCCAGTGGCAGGGAGAAAACCCTCCATCCAGCTCAACCCCCAGGGAAGAACCAACATGACACACAAAGGCTATGAGGCGGGGGGAAGGTTTTTATTGGTATAAAATTGTAGAGAAATAATTCCATCCCTTTCATAAAGCAGGTGAGGAAGAAGTCCATCTCCAGCAGAACCTGGGGGTCCCGGTGCCTCAGCCCCACTGCAGGTTGGGGGGGATGGGCCACCCCCCAGGTGGAGGGGCCTGCAGGGACAGGGGCAGGTCCTGCACTGGTGGCCAGCCTGGTGGATACTGGAAAGGCACTGGTTTCTCAGGCAGAGCACTGCAGAGGTGGGAAGAGGGAAGGGGCAGAGTCTCAGTTTTACAGCAAGGCCTTGCCTGGGGGCTGAGCAACCCTGTGTCTCCCTCCTCAAATCCCCCAGAACAGGAGGGATTTGGTTATCAACAAGCAGCTGTGTTCACCCCCCTCACCAGACCCAACAGCAGAGCTGCCATGTAACAAGTTGGTGCTCACTAACCTGGTGCACACCCCTGAAAAATGGGGAGGGGGTGGCATGAAGGGGGCCTGAGGGGGCAGGAACAGCCCTCCAAGAGGGGCAGCTGCTGGGAGGAGAGGCCTGGTGCAGAGAGCAGGGCTGGTGCTGCCCCCCCCCAGCCCCAGCTGCCCCCCACTCCCTGCACAGCTGAGTTTGGAGAGGATGAAACACAACCAGCAGATGTTTCTTTCCCAGCAGCCTGACTCCCCAGCCAGCTGTGCACTTCCCAAAGGACAAGCATCCCTCGGAAACAAAGCAGCTGCCAAAGCACCGGGGTGCGTTCACAGAAGCACCCTTCAGCAGAGGGAACTGGCTGCCACCTCCAGCTCCAGCCTGGGAAGCACTTTGTCTCTCCCCCTCCAGCTGAGGCCGGAGTAAACACCCGCCCCGGCTGCAGCGCAGGAGGGAGCAGCAGCGCTCCCTGCTGACCAGCGCGCTCGGCGGGGGCAGGTTGAAATTCACAGGAAACCTAACTTTTCCATTAATTCCTGAGCGCAGGGAACTCATTTGTTCTGCAGCACAAGCCCTGACAGCAGCCTTCAGGTTCTCAGGCCTCTACCTTGGACCCTGATGAATCCTTTTAATTGTTATGCCAGAAGAAATCCAATCAAATTCCTTTACATAATTCTCTGGAGATGCAGCACCCTCCCTCCTTCCCTCCCTCCCCTCCTGCAGGGTGGCCACAAGCCAGCTCCAGAAGTTGAGTGCAGCGTTTTCCAGGCAACTAACAAAGAGCAAAGTCATCTGGTCTAACGTCTGTCCCCTTGATTGGCATGTTCAGAGCTGGGGTTGAGATGGGACGCCCGGGATGCACCCCAAGCCCCCCTGGGCAGGAGTGTCTTTTGCTCCCTGCAGGTGCTGTGGCTGAGGCCCCACAGCAGTGGGGTGGGGGTGGGATGGGGTGGAGCAGCCCAGCTACCAGCTAATGAGCTGCTCTGCGAGCAGGACTGATCAATAGGCAGGACGTTGTCTGGGTACTCAATTCCCTGGGGGCTCATAAGACACAAGTGCTACCAAAGGGCTGCCTGCTGCAGGAGCACGCTGAGCAGCTCGGCCCCTGGGGACCCGCCGGTGTCTAGCACAGGTCAGGAATATTTCCTTGCTGAAGGCATTCATGGGATCCTTCCCTACCCACTTCCATATTCATGAAACCAAGCACAAACACAGGCTGGGGGGAGAATGAGGGGAGAGCAGCCCTGAGGAGAAGGACTTGGGGGTGCTGGGGGAGGAGAAGCTCAGCAGGAGCCCAGAACCCACCCGTGTCCTGGGCTGTGTCCCCAGCGGTGTGACCAGCAGGGCCAGGGAGGGGATTGTCCCCTTTGCTATGCTGAGACCCCCTGCAGGGCTGGGGCCAGGGCTGGGGTCCCCAACACAGGAAGGACATGGAGCTGTTGGAGAGAGTCCAGAGGAGGTGTGGGAAACTGTTCTTTTCTTCCCCTCATTTATCACCTGAGATGGTGGGAGATTTAGGAGGGAGATGCTGGGAGGGCTGGAGCAGCTCTGCTCTGAAGCCAGGCTGGGAGAGTTGGGGTGTTCAGCCTGGAGAAGAGAAGGCTCCAGGGAGACCTTAGAGCAGCTTCCAGTGCCTGAAGGGGCTCCAGGAAAGCTGGGAAGGGGCTTGGGACAAAGGCTTGTAGAGGACAAGGGGGAATGGATTAAAATTGGAAGAGGGAGATGTAGGCTGGATGTAAGGAGGAAATTCTGGAGTGAGAGGGTGGTGAGAGCCTGGCCCAGGTTGCCCAGGGAAGCTGTGGCTGCCCCATCCCTGGCAGTGTTGAAGGGCAGGTTGGATGGGACTTGGAGCAGCCTGGGCTGGTGGGAGGTGTCCCTGCTCATTGCAGGGTATTGGGACTGGGTGATCTTCACAGTCCCTTCCAACTCAAAGCAGTCTGTGACTCTATGAAACCTGCAGTATCTCAGCAGCTTCAAGGTCTCAGCCCCTTTCTGATGGAAATCAGCAAGGGGGCCCCACAGCAGTTAGGACAGAAGAACACACTCCGTGCACTGACATGTTCCTTTTCCTTTGAAAATCAGGTTAAAAATCAGTCACACCCTGGCAGAGCTCCAGTGCTGGAAGAACCACATGAACTCCATCCAACTCCAGCCCAGCTCTCCAGAGAGCAATGGCACAGCCTGACTTTAAGACAAGCATCAGGTAGAGGCTTCTAAATGAAGATCATGGAATCACAGAATCACTCTAGTTGGAAAAGACCTTTCAGACCATCGAGTCCAACTCCAACTCATCTCTACCTAAAGTCCACTGCTAAACTATGTCCTTCAGCACCATGTCTACATGTCTCTTAAACACCTCCAGGGATGGACACTCAGCCACCTCCCTGGGCAGCCTGTGCCAGTGCTTAATCACCCTTTCAGTGAAGATCATTCCCTTGAGCCCAGGCTGGGAGAGTAGCTGCAGGAATGTAGGGTGGAAGGCAACTCTGTATCCATGGGGTCATCCAGGTGACACTCAGTGCTCAAGTGACTGCCACCCTTCAGCCAGGGGGCTGGTACATGGCTTTGAATAGATGGTGTTTAGTTCCAGCAGTAGACGGTTTTTCTGGGCCTGCAGGGGCAGAGAAGCTGGGTAGAAGGCTACAACCCTACAAATCCCAAGTCTTGTGCATCTTTGTAGGCAGCAGGGACCAAAGACTTATGAAGGCCTGGAAATTCCACTGGTATAGCAATGGTTATCTTCTGGAAGAGACAATCACCCCAAGATGAAGGGATTCAGGGGCAAAACGGGGCAAGTGAAGTGTCCAGGGTAGGAAGTTTAGGACTGAAAGGCTTAGAGCAGCCAAGCTGATGGATGGAGCTAACAGGCAGTAACAAGCCTAGACAAGCACCAGAAGGAAGATTCTGCCCAGACCAAGCACAGAGAGGACAGGAGCAAACAGAAGAAGAACAAAAGAGAGATTTGGCACCTGCCCAAATGTCATCCAATTAAGTCTGCGGCACAGTCAGGTGAGTGAGGAAGCAGCAGGCACGGCAGGGCCTGGATCCCAGTGAATGCCATGAGGAGGAGCTGGTTCCACCCTCCCCCTGGCAGGGACTGGCAGAGAAGTGCAGGAAGAGGATGGGGAAGCTGTCAACAGACGAGACCAGGCTCCTGCCACTGAACTCTGGGCATTAACAACCCAGCACCATGGAGGCACTCTCCTCCCAGGTGTGTCTGTGCACTCGAGGTCACAGGAGTACCCCAGGGATGCAGCCACAGGCAGCACAGCCTGGCCTGGCCCCCTGCACACAGGGAGACACAAGCACACATCCCTGATGCAGGTGTGCCAGACCTGGAGCCACCCTGTGTCTGTGGTGGGTGCTGGGAGCAGGGACACAGCACTGGCAGGATGGGTGTGAAATGACAGCTCAGGGGGCTGGGGAGCTGGGACACCTGATCAGCTGCACCTCCTCCTGTCCCACTCACCCTCTCGTGGAACCCCCCTCTGCAGCTGCCAGCCCTCCCACGGGCTGGGTCCTCCCACCCACACCAGTACCTGTTGCTCTGAGCCATGCTCAGTCTCTTGGCTCTCTTCTCCAGCCAGTCCTCAATGGTGCCAGGTGGGACGTCTGCTCCCTCCTGCCGCAGCTCCTTCAATCTCTGCTCTCCTGGAAGAGACAGAGGGAGGGGGAGAGGGAGAGGAGAGGGCTGTCAGCTGTCTGGGCTGCAGCCCTTTCACTCCATAAACCCCTGGTCGTTACTCTGCATGGTGGAGAGTTTGTGGCCCCTCCTCCTCCCCTGCCACTCGATGCCTGGTCCCCTCAGTGGTGACAGCTCCAGCCAGCCAGAGCTGAGCCAGTGAGGATGGCAAGTCAGGGAGCTGAGGGGAGGCTGACACCTCTGTCCTCATCCTGACACAGCCTCTGCTGGCCCCGAGCCCTCAGCTGTTTCCAGAGCCGTGTCCCTCCAACTGGCAGGAGGAACTCAGCCACCTCTGCCCAGTTAGGTGGGGGTGACAGGGACGTCTGTCTGGATCGATGCAGACTTGGCAGCCCAGAGAGTCTGAAAGGTTCAGCGCGAGCAGGAGAGCAGCTTTCGGAGGTGCTGTCAGCCCTGCTGAAGGCACAGGCTGCCTGACATGTCCCCAGAGCCTGCAGGGACAGGGCTGGACGCTGCCACCCAGCCTGGCAGAGCAGAGCACAGTGTGGGGAGGGGAACAACTTCCTGCATTTTCTCATGCAAGTTCAGAAGGAGCAAGGAAACCAGTGGGGAAGCTCTGCTGTCTCCCAGGGGGCTGGGCAGCCCGGGGTCCTTGCACCACCCAGCACCCTGTCCTGCAGTGCTGTCCTCCCTGGCAGGAGGGAACAGAGCCAGTGGGGCAGCCCAGCACTCCCTAGTCCCTCCCAGTGGGCAGAAATCCACAGTTAGCAAAATTCCCAGTGACAAAGCAGGACAGGGTGTCAGTGGAGAAGAGGGTCTAGCAGGAGTCTTTGTCACAATCATTACCCCAAGAGCACAGCACAGGCTGAGGAGATGCTCAGAGCCATGAGACCTCCAGCCTAACAGAAAGGGAAGGTGATACTTGAAGAACAAACACTGATATTAATAAAAATGAAGCCCAGGCAGCTGTGTGTCACTGCCCTCTGCCCCTACTCACTGAACCCTGTGGGACAACCCTCTGGGGGCTCCTCAGCCCATCTGGAGATGAAGCCACCCGTGGTCCCAGCCTGGCAGCAGCCACCTGCAGCTGTGCCCACCAGGAGCCTGCTCCACACCTACCCACCATATGTCACACGTTTAAGGAAAACATTATACATTTCCAGACAGGGTGTGAAATTAATATTGCTTGGGCAGAGTGAAGGATCACTTCATCCTAGTGGTGGCAACCAATTATTCATCTGCCTGTTTAATATTAATAAGGATGGCAGAAATGTGCTACACAATGAGCAGCCGGAGATGGATAATTTGTCATCCAGCCTTTTCGTCTGCTGCTGTAGGGAGGGGTGACAATGCAGTCATTGCCACCACAAAGACAGCCTGCTGTGGTCCTGGTGTTGAGGTGCTGCTCTGCAACCCGGCCATAAGGACATGGCTAGAGACAAGACTGATCACATCTCCTCCAGCTGCTCCCAAGGAGCAAAGCCCCAGCAGAGCTATTCGGGACCAACCCGGTGAGGGCAGTGGGGAGGCAAGAACCTCAGGCTGGTGGGCTGGGCATTACTCAGCCTCAGCATATCTGAACTCAGCTCCCAGATTAGGCTTCCTTAGACGTGACCACAGCTACCTTATTTCCCCTTGTTCCAAGGTTTCTGGAATCTGGACACATTCCACCTCAGCAAGGGGACAAGCAGTGGTTGTGAGAGGTTATGATGAGGCCGGGAAGAAAGTCACAGGGAAGTAAGTCACAGGAAAACCTCTCCTACCCTCTACCTACCATCAGGATTTCATTTCCAGCCCTCTCCCAGCTCCAACACGGGCCAGACCAAAAACTGCCAAAGTCTCTGTTTGCAGCAGGGACCTCAAGGCCACCACAACAGAAGCTGGTGGGACTTGTGCAGCCACAACCCACTGTCTCATCCAGAAAAGCTCACTGGCTGTGGTGGAACAACTCCAGGCTCACGCTGGCCTAAATGAGGCCCCAGGTCTCCTGATGAGAAAGACATCCAGCTGGCTCCCTGTTCACACAGCTCCACGAGCTTCTGCTTCAAAAAACTCCAACCCTCAGGCTGAGAAATAAGGCAGCAGGTACAGGTCTGGCTCTGTCCACCTTGATGTATGCCCATCAAAAAGGCAAATCTTTCATTTCATCTCCTCTGGAGCTGAGACACATGCTGCCCAGGGACCACCAAACCTGCTAGAGATTGGAAATAAACCCTGGATGCCAAAAGGCATTCCAAGCTGTTAGTCTGAAACAACCACCAGCCCTTTGGCCCCATGCAGGGTCGTGCAGCCAGCCAGGCTGCAGCAGCAGGACAGGTGTGAAGGTGCTTCCCCATCTTCTCATGGGGGTGTCTGCTTCAGAGTCTAATTACAGCCAATTAAGAGTAGCTGTAGCCTTGGAGTGACTCTAATGATGCCAAAGCTGGAGTCCAGATTTATCTTCTCTCTCCATTCAACTTTTAGCCTGAGTTTTCTTCCTGAACCATTGTATGTGAGACACAACCAGCAGCACCAAGCAGACCATCCAGAGATTTCCATGGAATCCTTCAGCTCCCTTGCTAGGCAGGATGATGTGGGAGCCCAGACTCCTCCAGAGCAGATGAAGACCAGCAGGCTGCAGCTGAATGGTACAGCTGATGATGCCCTACAATGTGAGCAGCTCAGGAAGTGACTGCTCAGCAGCCAAGAAGTGGCAGCTGGCTGTGGGAACACTGCTGCTGCTTGTCACCAAGGGCTGGATGGAGAGCAGCCCTGAGGAGAAGGACTTGGGGGTACTGAGTAAGGAGAAGCTCAACAGAAGCCCAGAAACCACCCGTGTCCTGGGCTGCATCCCCAGAAGTGTGACCAGCAGGGCCAGGGAGGGGATTGTCCCCTCTGCTCTGCTGAGATCCCACCTGGAGAACTGTGTCCAGTTCTCGGGGTTCCCAAATTAGGAAGGACATGGAGCTCATGGAGAGAGTCCAGAGGAGGATATGGAGAAGATTCCTGATGGACACACCACGAGGACCAGGTCTCTTCTGGGCTTCAAGAAGGACAGGGAGCTGCTGGAGATGGGAGAGCAAAGGGCTACAAAGATGATGAGGGAATGAGAACATCTCTCTTACATATAAAGGCTGAGGGACTTGAGGCTTTTTAGTCTAGAGAAGACTGAGGGGGGATCTTATCAATGCCTATCAATACTTCAAGGGTGGGTGTCAGGAGGAGGGGCCAGTCTTTTTTCAGTGGTGCCCAGTGACAAGACAAGAGATAACAGGCACAAACGTGAACATAGGAAGTTCAATCTAAACATGAGGAGCAACTTCTTGACTGTGAGGATGGCAGAGCACTGCAACAGCTGCCCAGAGTGGTTGTGGAGTCTCCATCTCTGGAGACACTCCGAACCCACCTGGATGCCATTCTGTGCCATCTACTCTGGCTGAACCTGCTCTGGAAGGGGGGTTGGACTACATGGTCTTCAGAGGTCCCTTCCAACCCCCACCACTCTGTGATTCTGTCACTAGAACAAGCCCAATCTGCCACACACTAGCTCACCTCAAACTCAGCCCTAAGCCTCACCATCTGGGACACTGCTGCTTCAGGAGCCTGAGAAGTGGTGAAATGTTCCCAGGACACACCAAATGGCTTTTGCCTTCACTGCCTTTTGCAGGTGTTCCTTCCATCCAGTCCACTGTGTTGAGGGCTGCCCTCTTCTCCACCAAGTCCTGCTGAGCTCTTCCCTCCACCAAACCTCTCCAAGCTCTCTGGGGGCTCAAGGAATCAGGATATTGGTCTGTGAGGTGCTCAGCCCCCTCACTTGGCTCAGAAGGGATTTCCATGGAGCAACATGATGTGAGAGGCTGCCAGTATTTACCTCCACAACCAGGCATCCCTGTGAGAGCCACACAGCCAAGGACCAGGCATCCCCCTGTTCCCTGGCCATCACTCCTTCAGGTCTAATTGTTTAATTAAATGTTTGACTTGGTAATACAAATGCAAGTCTTCCAAGTCACCTCCCAGGAATCAGCTCCTTCCTGAGCCAATTCTCCACTTACACCTGACCTGTTTGACACCAGTCAATACTCAATAACAAGTGTAACTGGCAAGGAAACCTGCCTGAGTGCAGAGCAGCCTGCCAGCCTCCCCTGCTCTGCTCCACAAAGCTCTCCCTGCCCCTGCAATAAAGAACCTTTCATGGCTGGAATCAGGATCCTGCAAACAGGCTGACTCCTGTGTCACCCCTCAGGAGCCCAGCACTTACAATCCGTGGCAGAGAAGGGTCAGGGGGAGGTTCTGGGCTGGCACACCAGGGAGGAATGAGCCCCAAGCAGGACTGGCTGCAGCAGGAGGAGATGGGGCTCAGTGGTGCTCAGCCAGTGGTTCCCAGGCACCTTGGGGACTCGTGGACAGAGGACTGGAACAGCTGTGGAATATCTCCTGCTCCCCAGGGCACCAGAGCCCTGCCTGCCCACATCCCAGCCCTCTCCACCAAACTGGTTCCCTGTCTCCCCAGGCCCAGTCTCTGCCTCCTCAAATCCAATTCCTGCTTGCCCAAATCCAATCTCTTTCTCCCCAGATCTCATCCCAGTCTCCCCAGATCTGATCCCTGCCTCCTCAAATCCAATCCCTGCCTCCCCAGATCCAATCCCTGCCTCCTGAAATCCAATCCCTTTCTTCCCAGATCTCATCCCTGCCTGCCCAGATCCAATTCCTGCCATCCCAGATCCGTTCTCTCTGCTCTGCACTGGTGAGGCCAGTCTGGGTGCTGGGTCCAGTGCTGGGCTCCCCAGTACCACAGGGACACACCCCAAAGATGATGAAGGGACTGGAGCATTTGACATAGGAGGAGAGGCTGAGGGAGACAGGGCTGCTTAGCCTGGGGATGGGAAGGCTAAGGGGGGATGTTCAGCCATGTGTTTAAATATCCAAGAGTTAAAGATGATGGAGCCAGACTGGTATCCAGTGGTATCCAGTGAAGGGACAGCAGGTAACAGGCACAAACTGAAATACAGGGATTTCCATTGTACTATTAAAAAAAAAGTACATTTTCATTGCAAATGTGGTCAAACCCTGGAACAGGTTGCCCATAGAGGTTGCAGAGTTTCCAGCCTTGGAGCAAGATGGGCTTGGGACTGGACAATCTCCAGCAGGGACCTCAGTCAGCACAAGTTCTCCCCAACATCTCACTCACATCTTCTCCAACCACCAAAGTAATGGATCCTACAGGGAACAGTGAGCTGCCACCAGGGCAAAGAGCTGGGACTCCCAGGATGAAAATGTTCAAAAGTGCTCTGGGGACTCACACAGGGGAGCAGCTGCCATTCATGCCCTGCCCAAACCTCAGTTCCACCCGAAGCCACCTGAGCAGAGGCCATTTCTGGATCCAAGACCCCACATCCTATCTTCAGGACAATCCAGCTGACAGCAGACTAGCTCTTCCCAAGAGTGGATGCAGCAGCTCCCTGGTAGTAGAGAGGTGTGGGGAAATCAAATCCATAAATTGAAGGGGAAGTGATGTACCAGTGCCCTCTGCTGCTGACAGTCTTTATTCCCTGACTGAACAAAACCCCGAGGGCTCAGGAAGCCCACTCCTGCTTCAGCTGCTTGCTGCTGAGTGGTACCAGCACTGCTCAGCTCTAGGTTTGTGTCTGTGCCATCAGATGAAGAGCAGGAAGCATGGGAAGAACTGCAGCACTTCCAACCACACAGCACTGAGAGGGATCCATGCTCCCCCAGGACCAGAGGCTCCCCAAGCCCCTCCCAGCCCACCTCCCTGCAGCAACTCCCCCTCCTCAAAGACCCCTGGACATTTTCTTGTTTGAGGGCTCACCTTGCACCTGGGCACTCAGCTTCTCCAGGTCCTGCTCTGTCATGTGGGAAAATCTGCAGTTGGATCCAAAATCACACTGTCCTGGAACAAAAGCCATAGAGCTCCATGAGAGCCCTGCACACAAGGTACCCCTTGTAAACATGCATCTAAACCCCAGATTCATCACACCAGACACAAGTCTAAGCCCTTCCCTCCCTCTGAGACAAAGACAGACACCAAGACTCTCAGGAACAGCCTTGGTTGTTCACTTCTTGTTCTCCTCCTCCTCCTATCACAAAGGAGCTGCTGGAGCTCAGGCAGTTCTTTCTACCTCAGAAGAACTCACCTGTTTGCAGAAACTTGCGACAAGGTTTCTTGGTCTGTTCCTCTTGCAGGATAGCAGCAGCATCTGGGGGAGACAAGGGACAGCACAGGGTGAAGATCCCTTGCCCATGGTCCCAAATGGGGCAGCTGCTTGGTGAGAAACCATTTGATGTGACAACCAGGAATTTAAGCCATGGAGAAACTGACAATTTGCACTCCTAGCTTCAGTTCTTCACTGGCTTGCACAGATTCCCTCCTTTGCTTTCTGCTTCATGCTTTCTTCCCATGCCAGTCAGGGAAAAGAAGCATGACAGAAAAACAAGGACTCTGCAGCTCAGGAAGACTCTCAGAGCTCTCAGAAAAGCTGTGTGAGGCCTCACACACCCCTGTGCTGAGTGTCCAGTGGTCACCACTGAAATGGCCCTTTACCTCCCGGAGATGTTCTGAGGAAGATGGGCCCCAAAGCTATAGAAGCTCCCACAGATTGTGTAAGAACTGGCACTGTCTAGTGCCAGGAGACGAGAGAAGAGAAACCCCCTAAGCAGGGATGGGATGAGGAATTTTATCAATCAGAGTGAAATCAGGGCTTGCAGCCTGGTGAGAAGCCAAATGCCAGGTGGTGTGCCTCAGCACCACTGACCCAGCTAGAACTGGGTTGGGGCTGTTGGTCCTGCACACTTGGCTGTGACAGAGAACCTTTCCAAAGTCCAGGTCTGGTTGGGCATCCAGCAGAGCTGCCCAGAACTCCACCAGGTGTTTGTTCCTCACCAAGCTCTCCAGGAGACAGAAACAGCCTGCAGCTCCTGGTCCTTAGGAACCAGAAGGAAGCAGAGGAACACACAAGCAATGGCTTCAGTACCAGTTTAGCCCAAACTAGGCTTTTGCTACTGCCAAAATATAGTCCTGCTCGCTCACAGACCCTGGACACACATTCCCACCATATTCCTCAGACTGGCACTAAGACACAGGTGACTGTGTGGTGAGCCAGGTCAGAGCACTGAGCTGGATGTGGAGAGTCCTGTTGCACAGGCAGAGGACACAGGGCTCTCCTCCAGCATGTCCTGACACAGCCTCCAGCCCTGGAGCTCCAGCTCCTCCTCTGCCAACACCCCCATGCATCTGCTCTCCTCCTCTGCCCTCCCCTTGGCCAAGGTGGTTTTGGGCACACCAGTGCTCTGAGCTGCCTACCCAGCCCCTTCACCCTGCTGGGACCTCCGGTCGAGGAGTCAACCCTAAGGCTCTCCCACAGGCACCCTGAGAGCCAACACCTCCAGCCTGACAGAGCTCTGCAGGTCCCTGTCTGGCTGCAGCCCCAGCACACAGCCTGCCCCAGCCCACCTCCTCCATGCACACCTACAGCCCTGCTCTTCATACATCAGAGATCACCTCTGGTTTGCAGAAGGCACCTAACTCACCTTCAGGAACTGCAACTCACTTTGTTCTCTCAGGTCTCCCATCTCAGATTTGCTCGTGATGCCAAGAGAGCTTGATCTGCAGCTCCTGTGCTCAGCAACACCCTCCCTATCTCCTCCACCTCACCTCAAGTCCCTGCTGACATCCACAATTTCCCCTTCCCACATCCAGACACGTGTGAGCTTTGCCTCTTAGACTGCTTGACAGCAAAGCTATCAAGTCCACAATCCACTGGCACAGACAATCTGCACGTAAATCACCAGAGCTGATTTATTTTATCTCTTCCCCACCTCCACCATCAGCTCCCCAGTCCCAGAAAGAAGAGCAGCAGACAGCTGGCAGCACCCACCTCGGAATAAGTCGTACCAGAGTCTCTTAGCCCTGAGGTGCTGCACTCCATTGAGGTGTTTCTTCCTGTTGTGAAGGTTGTCCTGAAAGGACCTGTCACAGTAGTCACAGAAGTATCTTTTCCCCATCCCTCTTCTGGCCGGGCAGTGTCAGGACGCCCCGGGAACCATCAGACAGATCCTCGGCGTGCAGCAGCTCCCTGGGGACAGAGGATCCAAGATTTACAGCAGCTGCTTCCAAAGGAGAGAACTCAAATCATTCAGGGTTGGCAGAGAGAGGCAGGGGTGAGACCCAGCAGTATATATCCTTGTGCATCAGAGGCTCGCAAGGCAGCCTGTACATGGGAGAGCAGGCTCAGATCTACATTTCTGACCTCATTACCCAAAGCAACAACATCTCTGCTGAAAGAAACCTCCTTCCCTGAGGGTGCTGGAGTTCAGACCACACGAAGCAGAGACCCCAATGGCTCCCAGCCACCACCTGCTCCAGGGAAGGTGCAGCAGAAACCAGCCAGTGTGCCAACAGGAGGAGAGAGAGGTCCATGCCTGGGCTTTAACCCCAGACAACCTCCAGGAGCTGTCATGCAAGAGGAAGGAAATCCCCCCGTGTCCAGTTCTACAAGGAAAGGAAGGAACTCAGCAGCTCCTCAAAGATTATAAACCAGAATCTGATAACCGCTCTATTGACAGTGGGAGCTGGACTACACACACTAAAGGATGTAACAGTTGGTTTGGATCACCTAGCCACCCACCTACCCCTGAACATCACCCTCCCACCCTACAGCAGCAAGGTGTGTCTGCTCCTCACAGCATGGCTAAGGCCACAACAGCCTGAGGGCCAGGAGGAAAGAACCCCCAACTCCACAGCCACTGAAAGCAACCTGGGGATGCCTGGTCCTTCCCCTCTTGCAGGGGAGAGGGACTTAAGACACATGTCTTTTAGAATTACAGACTTGTTTTGGTTGGAAGGGACCATCCACAGGCAGCAACCCCTCCCACTAGACCAGGTTGCTCCAAGCTCCATCCAACCTGGCCTTGAATTCAGTCTGGAGACTCTGTGGTGGAGTATGGAGAAAGAACATGACAGAACGTGGGTGGTCTCATCTGTGCTGGGAGCATCCAGGGCAGCCTGGGGTTGTAGTTCCACATCAGCTGTCCTTGCTGGAGGCACAACACACACCCTGAAGGAGCTGTAATCTCCTGAGTGATATAAAGGCACCTGGTAAGTGCCACAGATGGATGGACTGGGAGATAAACTTCTAAAGCAATTCTCCAGTTTTTGACACCTTGACAGCCAAATATGTTTAAAAAATGGCACGAAGACCAGTGCAAGAAATAAAGACTTTATAAATAAAACCAGGTCAGAATCAATCACGGCCCCCTTAACAATTCCAGAATCAGCAGGAGGAGCAGCAGCAACAGGCAATTCCTCAGAGCCCTCAGTGCTGCTGAGCCCTGCCAGCCAGCCCAGCAGCTCAGGGGTAACTGCTCCAAACCCCCTTCCTTCCTCCCACCAGAGAACTCCTGCTTCTGAACCAGGGCCCTGGAAATCTCCCAGGCCTCACATGACACATTAAAACATGGTCTCCTCCATCCAGCTGCATTCAGTGGAAAGGTCTTCTTTTGAATCAGTTTGCAAACCTTCACACTGAAGGTAAAAATCATAGAATTATGGAATGGTTTGGGTTGGAAGGAAACTTAAAGATCATCGAGTTCCATCCCCCCTGCAAGGGCAGGGACTTCTCCCACCAGCCCAGGCTGCTCCAAGCCCCATCCAACCTGCCCTTCAACACTGCCAGGGATGGGGCAGCCACAGCTTCCCTGGGCAACCTGGGCCAGGCTCTCACCACTCTCTCACTCCAGAATTTCCTCCTTATGTTCAACCTAAATCTCCCTCTTCCAGTTTCAATCCATTCCCCCTCATCCCATCCCTCCCTGCCCTTGTCCCAAGCCCCTCCCCAGCTTTTCTGGAGCCCCTTCAGGCACTGGAAGCTGCTCTCAGGTCTCCCTGGAGCCTTCTCTTCTCCAGGCTGAACACCCCAACTCTCCCAGCCTCACTCCAGAGCAGAGCTGCTCCAGCCCTTGGATCATCCAAATGTTCAGAGACCCAAATAAACTCAAAATCTCTTCATTTTAAGGTGGTTTCATAGAATCATAGAACTATTCAGGTTGGAAAAGCCCCTTAGGGTCACCAAGTCCAACCATCATCCCTACTCTGCAAAGTTCTCCCCTAAACCATCTCCACCAACACCACATCCAAACAACCCTTAAACACATCCAGGGATGGTGACTCAACCACCTCCATGGGCAGGCAGCCTCTTCCAGTGCCTGACCACTCTTTCTGGGAAACTGTTTCTCCTAATGTCCAGTCTGAATCTGCCCTGGTGCAGCTTGAAGCCCTTCCCTCTTGTTCTGTCACTAATTACCTGTGAGAAGAGACCAGCACCAACCTCTCTGCAATGACCTTTCAGGTAGTTGTAGAGACTGATGAGGTCTCCCCTCAGCCTCAAACTAAACATTCCCAGCTCCTTCAAGTGTTCTTCATAAGATTTATTTTCTAGTCCCTTCCCTAGCTTCATTGCCCTCCTCTCTCCTGGCTCCAGCACCTCGAGATCTCTCTTGAATTGAGGTGCCCAAAACTGGACACAACACTCCAGGTGTAGCCTCACCAGGGCTGAGCACAGGGGGACAATCACCTCTATGCTTCTGCTGGTCACACTATTTCTAACACAGGCTTTCTTGGCCACCTGGGCACACTGCTGGCTCATGTTCAGCTGCTTGTCAATTAGAACCCCAGGTCCTTTTCCTCACTCTCCAGGTGAAACAGCTTGTTGGCAGGTGGTGCTGCTCAGCGAGCCCCCACTCCCTGCTGCACCTGCAAACACAGCCAGCCCTGGCTCATGCCTGGAGCTGGAACAGCTCTGCAGGGCTTGAAGGCAGAGGTTGTGCTCACAAAACCAAACACAAGTTCTGCCACATGAACATTAAGCCATTATTTCCCCCCATCCTTCACTAGATCATCCCAGAGCTCTGCAGCCAGCTCTGCTGCATTGTGGTGAGGCTGCTGGAATCCAGAGGGGAGGCTCCTACCCTGGTGTCTGGCTCTCAGGCAGGCTCTGCTGTGGCTTTTAAGTGTTGAAAAGAAACCAAACCAAACCCTTTCTGCATCTTACACCACAGTCTCCCAAAGTTTCTGGTAACATAAAAGCTCCCTGCTTCAGCTGCTGGCTCCTGCACTCCATCTCTGCAGAAGAGGCTGCTGTGAAGAAGGAAAACAAATGAGATTCTGCAGTGGTCCCACACAAGTTTCCACAGATCTCTCTGGGAATTCTGCCTGCAGAAGCCCAGCAGCCAGCCAGCCTTTGAAATCCTATTTTAAATTTTTCCTTTCATCACCCCCACAGCAATAATTGCAGCAGCTCCTTTCCCCCCCTCCTTCCCCACCAAGGGCAGCAGAAAGCTCCTACAGATTGCAAGCAGCCACATCCCACACCCCAGAGGTGCCAGCTCCCAAATTCTCCTACAATTCCCATTGCAGGGGATGGATGGAAGAAAAAAAACCAACCCCGAAACAAAACAATTAAGAGGAGCGTCAGATTCTCCCAGAGATCACCTCCTCCAACGACTGCACTGAGCACTTATTTCCATCTTTTTAAGAATTCAGCTGCATGGAATATCTTGGCTGGATCCTGACAACTCTCTGCAGTATCCCAATCCACAGCACTTGGGTGTGTAGGAATCAAAGCTGCTCCTGAACACCACAGCCTAATCTACTTCCACCTCCCCAGATGGCTCGAGCAGTAAACAAAGAGCATTATTCAGTTGAAAACAAAGATGTTTTCTAATTAAATCCATGTTAGTCACTATGAGATAAAGTAAATGTAGCTGCTTTAGAAAACTGCTTGGGCTTGGCCATTTCCTCTTAACATTCCTAGATCCCAACTTGCAGTTGAATTGCAGGCAAGCAGACCTCTGGACCCACATGCAGCCAGAAGCCACTTCAGACAGGCTTTATACCAGCTTAAAATGTCTTTCTGCATAAATCCAAATATAAAAAAAAACAACCCACAAACCACAGGGCTTTGTCTGGTATCTCGATGCTTTAAAGCATTAATAAAAATCCTCTGCTGTAAGCCTCTTGGAGCAGGGTTTTATAAGTATGTTCTGAGACACCTCACAGGCATTTCACTCACCCAGCCGAGGAGCTTGGTGAAACTCCAGGCAAGGTCTCACGTGCACCATCCTATATTTTCCCTTCTCACTTGCTTGGCAAAACACTCCACGCTGTGCTCTACTGGCTACAGATTTATTTAGGAATTTCCAAGGGGTCTTTTCACTGATTTCCCTGAGATGTGGGCAGAGGGAAGGTGACCCACAAACGGGCAGCCAGCAGAACTGTTGTTTGGGTGTAACTGATTCATTCCCCACTGAACCTTGAGAATTGCTACTGGGCCTTGACCTCAATTTCCTGACTTCTCACAGCCCAGGCTTGGGGCTGTTTCAGCCACTTTGGGTACCCAGACAGATGTGAAGTTAATTAAATCCAAGTGTTAGGCTGATGACATTCAGCTGCCAATTTCAATGTGCTCCTATCTCTACAGGAGCAGGCAAAAAAAGCTGGCAGAGCCTGCCAGCACCTCCACAGGGACAGACTGGTGTAAATCCAGAGCCACCAGTACACAAACCCATCCTGCTGGCAGCAGGTCTACAGGCTACGGGGGAGGTTTGTCTTAAACACAGCCCCTCAGACTTTGAAAAATAAGGGTCAGCTTCAGTGCCAACACCCCACACAGAGGGAGAGGCTTTGCCCTACCCCAGAAATCCAACAGGAGCTGCACGCAGGGAAGCAAACAGAAATAAATTAAGAGAAACGAGGACACAGCCAGACTATGAGCTCTCCCTGAGACAAACGAGAGGACAGAGCGAGTGTTAACTGAGGATCCGTTCTGGAATTTAAAAGTAGACACTCACTGAACAAGAATCCTGCTGAGGGGATGATTGTTGGTTCCAGCCCCCCTGTCTGTCCTCCTGCCCTAAGCCCCCCGGGTCCCCCGCCCTCGATGGATGAAGCAGAAGGACAAGGCTGAGCAAGAGGGAAGGTCTGCAGGTCCCGGGGCCACATCCTGCCCTCCCGAGGCTCCGGAGCCGCCGTCTGAGCCTCTCGGGAGCCCCTGAACACCCTGCT